CGACCGGTCGATCTCCAAGAGCTCTAGGGTATTGACATAGAGGATATTGAGGCCGCTGCCTCCGTCCATCAACACCTTGGAGAGTCAGGTGTTGCCGATGATCGGGTCGACGACTAGTGGGTAATGTCCGGGGTTCGGAACATGGTCAGGGTGGTTGTCTCGATCGAAGGTGATCGCCTCCGAGACCGGGCCGAGGTAATCGGGGTGGCTACCTTGATCGAGAAGACCTCTCGGCGTTCCCTCTCTTGCCGCCGCTGCTGCCAGAAGGCACACCGAGGGTCCCTCAAGATCATGAAGGCGTTATGCACTCGGGAACCCGTCGTCCTTGTCGCCCCGATCGCCGGGCGCCTTCTACTTGGCGGCGCTGTCGGGAGCCCAAGCTGGCGAGTAACGCCGCAAAGATGGAGCAATCTCGAGGGCGTGCTTGTCCGGCCTTGGTGGTAAGGGCAGGGTTTTAAGCATGTCGCCGAAAGGCCTAGGGCCTTTGGGGCCTCGGGGATTCTTGCGTTTCATGGCCGTGGCCAGATCGGCCTCCAGGACCTCCCGCTTCCCTCAGCGCCTTTTTCTTTCTCTTGGGAGGTGGGAGGTCGAGGCCTGGGGGCCTCATCCTCTGCTTACCCTTGGTGTCATTGCTGGGAAGATGGCTCCGATAGCCTCCTCACCCGAGGCGGTTGGTAGCGATGTCGAGGAGCACGGCAATGAGAGCGCGGCATGTTCCGACCTAACTCTCGAACCAAGTCTCGGCAGGTGGTGCCGAGAGGAAAGCCTAGACGATCTCGAGTCGAAGCCGACACTGGGCAACTCGGTGCATTTGCTTGAGAAGCGCCGGATGAAGTCTCGAGAGACTCGTCCGCTTCATGGCAGCAGCTCTTAAGATCCCAGAGTTCGTGGCGCACGATGTGCCCTAAAAGTTCCCACGAAGATCCGAACCAAGTCGCGCCAACCGTGGATTTGTGAGGGAGGGAGGTGTTCGAGCTGTGCTCGCACCGAGTCCGACAAGAGCAGGAGGTTGCGGATGATGAGCAGGTCATCATCCGCGCCACCTAGTCTGGCGAGCCAAAGTGTAATAGGCAAGCCGAGTTCGGGGTTGGTCTCGCCATCGCATACTTCACGAGATTGGTGGTTGCTGAAATTAGGGGGGAAAAGAGCAAAGGCGGATGGCCTTTGTGAAGACCCGAGGGCTCTGGCGGCTCAGGGAAGGATCGCCGTCCTCCCCACTATCATAGCGGCCGCCCTTCGGTGTGGGTGGTAGCCCCAGAGCCCTCGTTGTCGTGGTGTCGTCGTCACGACCACCTCATGGTTTCCCCCGCACCTCGCATCGATTGCCGAGGTGGTCCAGTATACGGGGCCCTGTGGGCTATCGGTGGTGCTCGAGCAGGATCGGACGAGCCGAGGCTTCCCCTTCTTGCCGAGGCGGTGCTGTGGGCAGGTTCGAGACGCCCGCGCTGCGTCGGAGGCGGAACTCGGCCCGCTTGAACCGCTGGAGTCTCTAGGAGCTCTTGAGCTCGCTGTGGACCCACCGCCTCCGTGGTAGAAGGTTCGGCATCGCGCGGACCAAGCATTACCGCGGCCGCGTGTTTGGCGTGATTGAAGACTAGGGGTTGCTCGCTTCCCTTCGTGCCGTGGATGCGATGATGTACATCACGGGCCCTTCGTCGGGCTCCTCCGCCTTCGCCGTGACTCGCGCGCCTGCTCGAGAGAGTCTCTGAAGCTGCCAGTAGAAGGAGTCGGTCCTGCTCGACCTGCCCGGAGCTCACGGAGTGTTCTAGGTCCGGACATTGAGGTCGCGAAGAGCAGGGTTCTCGCCCGTCTTCGCCGGTAGGACAATGCGCGGAGGTGTGGCGGCGCCTATACCGGCCGAAGCGGGAACGGCTACCCACCCCTCGTCTTCCTCGCCTACCCTCGGCATCCCGAGCCCGACGTGGAAACACTCATGAGCGAGGTCGAGGTGCCCCTCGTTGTCTGAGTCTGAGTAGTCGGCAAGAGTCGCTATGCGGCGTGAAACGACGATAGCCCTGTGGTCATGGAGTCTAGAGAAATCCACTCGGGCCATGCCTCGCCCTCCTCAGAGGAGTCGGCGTGGGCGCCAGTCGAGAGTGAAGCTGGCGGCGCTCGGGGATCCTTGTGAGCGGCGGCGCGTAAGCGTAAGCATAAGAGGTGGCGGCATTTCTCAACCCAAAAGGGGGTATGAGGATGGTGCTGTCGCGGACTTTGCTCCGCCAAACCGGCTCTTCAGGAGTGGTGGAGCGGAGCTTGGTGATCGGGCGCCGCCATGTGCCACCGGCGTTTTTCCTTTGTCCAAGCTCAAAGCTAGACAGTCCCCACCAGGGAGCCTGTGCTAGCAATTTGGTCATAGGATGTCGACGGGAGCGGGCGTGCCATCCCGGATTCGAGTAGCATCGGGTGGTCTTGCTTCGCTGCGTGCTCGGCGAAAGCACGCGAGAGAGCGGCCGCCCGGGCGCCGCTTACGCTGGGATGTCGGTGCGTGGCGTCGTGCTGTCGACAGTGGGGCTCGGGGCGTGAGGAGTACTATATCATACTCATGCCCCAGAGACATGAACTCTAGGCCCCCGAACTAGATCACCGTGCCGAGACGTAACGGTCGTACGGGGTCTGCCATCCGGAACTTGTTGGGATGACGGCCCGACACGTAGACGCCCTACCCGGCGCGCGCCTAATCGCTGTTGGTGTTTGGATCGGAGGTCCTCTATCAACTAGTGAATTTGAACTGCATGCCCCTAATCCCGGATGGTGATGCAAAGAGACACAAGGTTTATACTGGTTCAGGCAATCGGTGCCCTACGTCCAGTCTGAGAGATCGATCTTGTATTCCTTGTACCGAAGTGTTAGTAGTAGGGGTTACAAGCATGTGGAGAGAGGGAGCTAATCCTGTGTCTCGGCGAGGTGTCGTGTGGGCTGCTTGAGACGTTGCTCTCGTGGAGGCCGGGATGTGTATGTGTGTGAGCTACAGTGTTCTTCCTATTTCTCCTTTTTCGCCCCAGAGCTATCCTCGGCCGCTTCCTTTTATAACCGTAAGGAGGGAGCCAGAGTACATGAGTGAGCTATACGTGGAGCCCATCAGAGTTCATCCTCAGAGTGACATGGTGTTGGGGATGGCGATTGGTACTTGATCTGGGCCGTCTTGTCGCTGTGCCCGAGGTTGTGGGAGTCCTTGTTGACGTCTAGTCAAGATGGCTTCCATCAGAGGAGACATGTGCAGTGCTTGTGTGTTCTTGACTTGGTGGAGTGCCGAGGCTGGCGGGTGTCAGATGGTGATTGTCCGAGGCTCGCTGAGGCCTCTGAGGTGACAGAGGTGATGATCTGGGGGTCTCGGTGGTCGATGGTGCATCCGGTTCAGTGGAGAAGTGCTGAGGCGTGTGTCCACAGGCACGATACCCCTGCCAAATCAATAGAGGATGGTAAAAGGAGATTTGACCGTTGTCCCATCGCCCTTGTTGTTGCAGCACTCGTCGGCCGTGGCTCGACGTAGTAGGTGTGACCAGCGCACTTAAACGGATGTGACGGCTCGCCAGAGGGACGTTGAGGCGGAGGCGACGAGGATGATGGGGACGAGCCGGCCTCGGTCGAGGCGGAGAAGGAATAGTACGTCCGAGGCCTCGCCGGGGGTCTTGACGAGGCGGAGGACTTAACGGTTGGTCTTTCATGCTAATTCCGAGACTATTGGGACCCGGACTTGACCCTCCACGCCACTTTGTCCTTGGCGAGGAGTTAGGTAGGTAGCACAGGTAAAGACGGTGTCGTTAGGGAGGGGCTGATGATGAGCACAGTGGTAGGTAACCCCCGCTGCGCTGGTCCCCTCGTGTCCGTCGGTCATTCTACTCAGATCATCGTGCTAACGTCTGGCCGACGTTATGGGAGTAGTGGGGCGTATTGACTGGACGTGGCGTTTTGTCAGGGGAGTCGGTCGGGACGGAGGTGACGAGGTTGTTGCTGAGCCCAGCATCGGGCGAATCGGAGAATTAGTATCCCATCCGAGGCATTGCGGGGCGGGGCCTCGGCGAGAGGGCCTCGGCGGGGCGGAGGGCTTTGGCCTTTCGTCTGAGGCCTCGGCGTAAGCCTTGGGTGAGTCGGAGAATCTGTCGAGATCTCATGGTTGTTTTTTGACTTTGATTTTTGTAAGGCTTAAGCAATATTTTCAGTTCTTGGTTAGGGTAACAATCCTTTTCTCCCTGCTGGGTGAGATTGTCCATTCGTCCTTGCTGATTTTTGTATTTGCCAGTCTGACACGGACAAGCCGGCCGCCTGGAGCGGGAGGCTGCACGAACCGGCACAAGCGAAGCGAGCGACGTGTTGGCGTGCTGCTGCTGCCGCTGCCGCCTGCCGGTGGCATCAGCTGGTCTACAGTTGACAGCGCGAGATCGTACCGAGCAACTGTTGAGCCTGCACGAGCTCCACCGGCAGGCACCAGGCAGCAGCACACAACACGACACGAGCAGCCGCCCCCACCCCGGAAAAGGAAGAAGTCAAGAAGAGAACTAGACAACTCCGCGGACACTCGGGTAGGCGGGTCTCTCTCTCAGAGCCTCTGCTTCTGTTCACGTGGTCGCCCCGTGCCGCCCCGGACTGGACTCCACTCCACTTCCAGTCTTCCACTGCCACGCCGTCCGTCGACGTGATTAGCCGTTGACGGCGGCGGTAGGCACCGGGGATTCCGGCCGGACACATGGCCCGAGCCGCGACAACCGGGCACGGGGCATGGAGTCAAATCCAAATCCAAATCCAAATCAAATCCAAATCCAAGTCCACCCGTTGCACACACTTGCACTTGCGCGAGACCTCAGTGGCTCAGTCCAAAGCCTGCTTTGCTCTGCCTCCTCTGCTCTCATAAATAAACAACCCAAGTCCGAAACCACACGCAAGCAGTACAACAAGAGAGGGAGAGGGACACAAAGGGAAAGCAGCAGCCAGAGCCCAGAGGACAGCGGCGCTCGGCAAGCAAAGCAGCCGCTTACCCCACGAGGCACGAGCACGAGCCGAGGATGAGGATGCGTGCGCGGGCGGCATTGGCATCGTCGCCGGTGCTGCTGCTCCTCCTGCTCCTGGTGGGCGGCTGCGCCGGCGCCGTGTACAAGGTGGGCGACCTGGACGCCTGGGGCGTGCCGCCGCCGTCCAAGCCTGACGTCTACAAGCGCTGGGCCAAGTCCATCCACTTCGCGCTCGGCGACTCCATCTGTAAGCAAACCAACCCCATCCACCGCCGTCCCATCTCCGCCACCTCAGTGCCTCACTCACTCACCCCATCTGCCTCACTCGCGGTCGCAGGGTTCCTGTACCCGCCGAGCCAGGACTCGGTGCTGCAGCTGGCGCCGGAGGCCTTCGCGTCCTGCGACCTGTCGCGCCCCGTGGCCAGGCTCGCCGACGGCAACTCGTTCTTCAACCTCACCGCGCCGGGCCGCGCCTACTACGCCAGCGGCGCGCCGGGCCACTGCCGCAAGGGCCAGAAGCTCTGGGTCGACGTCCCCATGGCCAACGGCACCTACCTCCAGCCCTCCGCCACCGACCTCGCCGCGCTCGCCCCCACCCCAGCCGCCGACCCGCCCGCCGGGACCGCGTCCGCGCCGGAGGGCGCCAGCGCCTCGCCCGCGCCCCGCGCCGCCGCCGCCGGATCCGTCGTCGCGCTCTGCTTCGCCCTCCAAATCCTCCTCTGATGACATTTGATGTGTAGCTAGCTGATTAGCTACCTCTCGATGTAGTTCTGAGATCTCCATTTTTGCGGAATGAGAGTAAGTCCAGTTCTTTCTTGGGTTGAAATGAATTTTTCGCGGAATGAGAAGTGAGTCCAGTTATTTGTTCCGTTGAATTGAATGGTGGTCCTCATTTGGATGGATGACCATTGATCGTTCCATTTTTTTTTTGGTTGGTTTCTACATCTCGTTCCATTAAATTTAATTCCACTGTAGAGTAGAATCAAGTGATGACACGGATCATTTTTGCATCGATCACGCTTCTCGATCTCCTTTCGTTTATAGCATCGCCGACAAGTAGTTGAATCGTCTCGCTCCATGATCAGATCAGCTTAGCGGATGGATCGACTAGCTAGGCTGTAACTCTGTAAGCTGGTGGGGCAGATCAACCCACATGCGATGGCGGTGGTGGTAACTAGTGATGAACAGAACATTAGAACAGGTGCTGGATCGTGCCGGCTTTCTCATCAATCATCGCACAAAAGGACGGGCTGGCTGGGTGTTGACACCTATCGCGATCGATCCGCAACAGCACCGTAGTACCTTGTGCCTGGTTTAGATGGTAAATTTTTGTAACCTGGATATTGTAGCACGTTTCATTTGTATTTAACAAACTTTGTCTGATCATAAACTAACTAGGCTTAAAAGATCCATCTTGTGATTTATAACTAAACGGTGTAATTAGTTATTTTTTTTTATCTTCATTTAATGTTTTATACATATATCTAAAAATTGATGTGATAAAAAAAAGTAAAACAACTTCGAATCTAAAGGTGATCTAAACAAGGCCTTGTGTCCGTGTCAGGCATCCATCTGCCTGGACGAAACGGGAACTGTTTCAGGAAACATTGGATCAGTGATTTTGGGCATTCACTCAGCCACCAGCCGATGGAGCAATAGGGTACGGCATCTATGAATGCTCGGTGAATCGTCAGTACATCAGCATACTCCGCCGTCCCAAAATAATCAATTCATGAAATCACCCTCGGTCGTTTGACCAACTTTATAGAAAATGATAACAGGCTAACATCATTTATGATCACCTGTTCGTTGATGCTGAAATTTAGCTTACGTAGATGTTTATGTTGAAATGTTGTATGAGAAAAATATTGTTCCATAGTTAAAAAGTAGTTCTGAATAAGCTCGAGCGAAGCCGGATGATCGATATCAAATAAATACTCTTGTTAAAAAAAATAATTCTAGATTTAGAATCGGTCAAACTTTCTTAAATCTAACAAAAACTGTAAAGAAAAAAACAGTATCAACATTTATATCTTTAAATATGTTTCCTCTAAAAGTATATTCTATCTAATAATACTTTTTGGTATTATAATGCTAGTAATCTTTTGTATAGATTTAGTTAAACTTAAAATTGTTTGACTTATCGGGCAGTGAGAATCACACTCTTTTTAGGACGGATACTATAAAAATATATTTTATGATGTATCTAGTCTAATAATACTATTTAATGTCATGAATATTGATTTTTTTTATATAAATTTGGTTAGACTTAAAGTAGTTTAACTTAAAACAATCTAGAAGTTGATTTAATTTTGGATGGAGTATAGGCAAATTCAGACCTAGAGTTTTATTGCAATTTCAGCCGGTTACAGTTGCTGAATTCAAATTCCTGTTTGAAAATCTGCATAGAAGAGGATCAACATTCTCGGTTACCCACCAACTTATATTAAAGTGGGAAAACAAAAAAGTAAACCTCAACAGAGTTGGAGAGAGAAAACCACAATGGTCACGGATTCCTAATTCGTTACTGAACAATATTCTCGAACAATGTACACTATCCCTTCGAACCAGCTACTCCCGCATAGGCATTCTATCAACCAGAATAGAAACAAAAACAAAGACGCGCTCTCTTCTGCCCGGCACCACCTCATCACCGTGGCATGGCGATGTTCCAATCGTACACCTTCACATCCAAGGTGGCAGACTCTTCAAGTGCCCTTCTAAGTTCTTTGGCGCAGCTCGGGTTCTTGGCAAGCAGCAACGCAAAGCCACCGCCACCGGCTCCGACCAGCTTGTAACCGCAGCAGTAAGGGTCGGCTAAAGCAAACAGCTCGTCCACAAGCTTGTTGCTGCAGAAAGGGTCTAGCTCCTGGTGCAGCCTCCAGGCCTCCAGCAATATGCCGCCGAGCTCGTCCAATTGACCATTCATCAGGGCTTCTCTCCCGATTTTGGCTAATTCGGCAAGCCTCTTGATGCTGGATATCAAGATGTTGTCGCGACGGAGGTACCGAGTCACAACTTTCTGCAGGACTTGGTGGGCGAGCCTTACCTGTACAGATTCATTTGGGGAGCAACAACAATGTGGAAAACGTTAAACAACAAAGCGTGTGTTTGGTTGCCGAACAGAGGTTGCATCGTATATCCTGGTTGAGGAGATGCAGGCTATGTGGAACCGTATTTTATAAAAGAAGCTGTTTAGTGATGCTGCATGAGTGGATGCGGAAAAAAAAAGAAAAAAGAAGAAGATGTTGTTTGGTTACTTGTATGAGCCGATGCAGTCTACTTAATCTAGGGCTATGACACATGGGCCGATTCCTCCCATGCTGTATCAGCTCAGTCAGGCCAGGGGATACGAGGAGTCAGAGGAACCAAACACGCCCAAATATAACGGCATATGGATAGCATGGATATCAATGAAAACTGTTGGCTGTACTGTGATCTGGTATAACTGGACCAAGATGTTGTTTTCGCTTTCAACATTTGGGCCTTTAACGTCACCAGATGTTGTTACATGATAACTACAAATGCCTAATACCTATGACCTCGTTATGCTAGATACAAATTTGAGAAAGATGGATAGTGTGTGTAGCTCATTCCTTCTAAATATAGTGGGTGCAAGGTCACAAGCAACGGATTCAGAAAAGGAATTTTATGTTTCAAGCAGAAAGGATGAACTTACTTGGCCGGTGAATACAACCAGGAGACGTTCTTCTAATTCCTGAATCAATTGAGGAGTGGTCAACAAAGGAACAACTTGCAACCGTAATGGTTGTCCTGGAAAACTCTGGGTGCACTTGATCCCAGGATATAGGCCACCAATTTGGTCTTGCCACCCACCACCTGTCCCCATTATTTGCTCCACCACTAGCACAGCTCTAGCAACATTATCATCGCTTTCGACGTCTTCCATTACTTGAAATAGTCCCTTAACAACAGCAGCTGCTAATATGCTAGAAGTTCCCAGTCCACTTCCACGAGGAACATTAGCCCATGTCCTAATGTTCAGGCCAGATTTTGACAATATCTTGTGACCAAGGATTCCAGTAACAATAAGAGCAGACTTGACAAGACGGAATGGATCACTTTCTTTGAATGGAGAAGAAATAGATGCCAGATTATCAATATAAACATTTCTACCAGCATCATCTTCGATTCTTACTCCAAGGTGGTCTTCTGTTGTCTCTATCATAGCGCCAACTGGAAGGCTTCCTTGCAAGCTTATTGCCATATTTAAAACACAACCTGGACGCTCCAAGCTCCACGGAGGAGTATCACTCCAACCCCCAACAAAGTCCACACGGACTGGTAATTCTACAACAGCCTTCCTGGGATGCAAATTTCCATGGTTTGAAGACATGTTGCTGCTTGATGGCTCTAAAAGAATGAAATATGTTATTAACTATATAATAGCAATATCAATGGCTCAAATGGTAAAAACGACCACAATTAGCTCATGGCGCCATGGAATTTTGAGGAAAGTCACTATAAGCACAGCAGTTAGTTTTGAAAATCAAGGCCTTTAGTTACTGTAAATGACTAAATGTTGTGTAGTGACTAGTACACACCTTTTGACCCATATTTTATCGCCGACGCAGTTTCGCTTGCTATGGAAGCCCACACTTTCTCTTCCACCACACATGCAGTGGAAAGATCTCCAGAAGCTCTAAGAAGATCCATCTTGACCTGATATTCTCTGCTCTGAGGAAGAACCCCAGGATACTGATCTCTGTGACTTGGAAAAAATGAAAGTAATTCTTCATAGACTGATAAACGTGTATCCTTTTGTAACATTTCCTCACAAAGTTGAAACAGATTACGCCCGAGTAACCCATAGTTCAAACAAGCCTTGGCTATGTCAGCTGCAAGATCTGCCTGATGCTTGCTCGACTCAGTGCAAAGTTGTCTGTAATCAATAGCATGATGCAGCTCTTCCAAGCTGATCCTCTGTGATTTTCTCCACAAGGAAGCTATTTTCCCATCTGGGTCACATGCTGATCCCATAAGCCACATGCCCACATTAAGCATTTCTGGAAGAGACATGACAGGAAAAAGCTTTGCAGTCCATAAGCATTTGTCCTGGCTAGTTGAATCCCACAAATCCGAATCCTGGATTCTAAGATCTTCCAAGACATTTATCCATGGCTTGCCACAGAACGTCCCATCCCTCTTAATAGAAACTTTTGGATTATCGTGAAGACCACAGTAAACCAAAACTCTTCCCGCAGAGCTTACCAAAGGTACTTCCCAGAGGCAATGTCGATCAGGCAATGTGAAACAAGTGCTACCATTGAGTATCTGAGGATTGTACCCATGAAACTCACTTATATTCACCGCAACAACAATACATTGCGAGCCAATCCTTATTCTACCACAAAGTACTGAATCATAAACCAATGAGTCCTCTCCTATTGAGACCCCAGAAGAAATCTGGGTAGACAAAATAATAGCTGTCGCTGCAATATCACAAGCAGTGGTCTCTGGTAGTGAGCACATATGCCTTCGACCTACAAGTCCTGAATAGGAACCCGCCAGGTGATCAAGAACCTCCACAGATGTGCCAAAATGTAAAAATGAGAAGTCATCTGAAAAGGAAAATCGTCCAAGTTTAGCATTTCAACTGGGCAATTGACAGGAAAGATGATAGGAATAATCTCTCTTACACCTGATCAGGAAGAGAACAGTTGAAATTTCAACAGATACATGAGAACTTAAAGGTATAGCCTCTAGATAGAAAACCAAGATAATGCACTAGCTCAAAGTAATGATAACTGAATGATCAGTAGGAACATACATGAACAAAAGCTGAAAATCCTTTGTTTTCCTAAAGCAGAAATCAGTTCCTTCCCCAATGGACGTTTTCGCAACCATTCATGCTTGGCTGGTACCCATGCCGCCACAAGATCCTCATATAAGCTGAGCTGCAGTATATTGGCAAACATGATCACACAAATCGAAAAGTCAAAAGGTGCATCCGCAATCAGAGAAATATGCCTAACAGGAAGCAATGAAGACTAAGGGGTAGAGTTTAGAACACACATGCATTTCAATTCTAAATTAAATTTGTTAGTATGTTACTAGAAGATAGATTACAGGAGTCCTGTAAATCCACTTCCAACATGGAACAAAGAGTGAATACTAGCATTTCTTAAGGATAGAACAATTGTATAAAGGGCGTACCCAGTGCAGAGAGCCCCCGCTCTGTGCGGGGTCTGGCGAAGGGTGTCAGTGGCAAGCCTTACCCTCGCCTGTGCAATGCGAGGAGACCGCGACTCGAACCCGGGACCTTCCGGTCACAGGCGGTAAGACTCTACCGCTTGCACCAGGCCCGCCCTTCTAAGGATAGAACAATTGTATCTGATCAAGAATATATATTCAGTTTCTATCACATAACTTGTTTAGTTACTAGCATAGCAAAGTAGAAACTGAAACATAGTGTTAGTATCAAATTACGGATTAAGGGTTAGAAAGCTATTCAGAATGTACAATCAGGAGCATCCTGGACAGGAATTGAGCATTCACGGTAATCATTCCTTCAACAAGGTGTCAAAGATCTAAGTTCTAACTGCTAAAATACAGTAAATATTTTTGCAGAATAATCCTATTTTCTTAATTTATTGAGCATGGTTTCAAAAGAAATGAATTCACCTGTTCGGCAACATCCAAAAGCATCTTAAGGAACTATGGGAAAGGAAAATGATAATTATAGCTCAAATGCTGGAAATGGTAGCTTGCCTCTTTGTTACTAGTCATGAGCTCCTTAATCACGGTATGGCTAGATGAAAGTGCAAGGGTAACAAGGTCCTGCCACGCTTTACCCCTTGCTGCTATTATTCCTGTGTCAAGCAGTGCTCTCCCATCATCTAGGATGGCATGGCCCTCTACAAGCTCGCTCACTGTCGGCTTCTGCAGGAGATCATCAACCAAACATAGTGAATAGGTCTCCTTATCAACCCCACCGTCCTTTGATGCTACAACCACTCCATGATTAGCAGCCACATCCAGAGTGGTGGGCACCGTCACAAAACAAGCGGCGTCTTCAGGAAGATGTAGGTTGGAGGCATCAAAGCACGGGAGAACATCCCCGGTCATTATGAAGATCCCACCTGGTCATCTATGGGCAATTAGAAATGGAAACAAATGTGCGCTGGTCTGTCAATTTTGTCTGAGCTACAACCTTGGTTGTTGAAAGCTTGCCTTGCACTGGAGGAGATGGCAAGAATGTGATCGAACAGAAGCGGAACAGGTCCATCGGGATTGTCTCCGGCCAAGTAAGGCAGAGGGAGAAACGCCTTCCCCATGGGGTTCGCCCACGGAACCCTCTTGCTGTCGCCCCCGGCGTGAAGCAAGAGCACGTGCTTCTTCGCCATGACGCCCGCTGCCGCGGCGATCGCGGCCTCATCCCCCGAACCACCATTTGCTTCTTCCGAAAGGAATTCGCCGATCTCTTCCTTGGAAGCCTGCGAAGAGAATCCCGACATCCCAATAGGCCCTCAGAACAACGGGTCGAGTAGAGTAAAGCAAGGTAGCGATAGTAGGTAGGGCAGAGGGTAGGTGGGTCGGAACCTGGGCGGCGAGGTGGCGGGCAAGGGCGGCGACGGCGTGGAGCGTGGCGGCGCCGGAGCCGATGCGGGCGCCGTCGGGGTCGGGGACGGCGATGGCCGCGGTGGAGGCCGGGAAGCGGCCGAGAGCGCGGGCGCGCTCGAGCTGGCGGTTGTAGAGCGCGGCCTGCTGGGGGCTGGCGGCCGTGAGCACGACGGCGTCCCAGGGCGGCACGCGCGCCGGGTCGCGCGCGGACAGCCGCAGCCGGCACCACGCCTTCCGCAGCGTCGCCGCCGCCTCCTCCGCCGTGCGCGGCCTCCGCCGTCGCGGGCGCGCGTCCATCGCCTCGCCTCCCTTGGACTCGGATCGGGCCGCGGCGTGGGCGTAGCGTAGTCACAGACTCCACTGCCTGGTCTTTCTTTGACGGGTTAGACTATCTCGACGACGACACCCAAAATACAGGAGCCATTCAACATTTAAATAGCGTTACAGTAAAAAAAAATCAATACATATTCAACGTCCTCTCCAATAATAGGACTAAAAAAGAAACATTTCTAAAATAGATTTTCAGAGGAGAGAATATTCATATTTAGGTTATATCTCTCAGCAATTTAAAATAGATCTCCCGTATAAATACTCTGTTAGAGACTAATTTTAGATTTTCTACTACTCATTTTAGATTTAGACACCTATTGAAAACAGTCTTATCGGTGAGGATGCTGATGACAAACCTGACATTCTGTTACAGTTCAGAGTACCGTCAGTTAAAAGGAGCTGTGGGATCAAGCCATGGCGAAGGTTCTAGGTTGCTGTTCGACGGTTATACTGCTGTTTTGTGGCCGACAACGGCTGTGGGATCAAACCAGGGTGAAGGTTCCAGTGCTCTCTTCGTTGGGTTGATAAACCATAATTAAAAATAGGATTGACTGATTTATTGAAGGCCATAGCAGACATGAGCGATCTGTTTGGTTGCAAGCCTCCTAGTAAGCAGCCAACCAAGACAGCAATTTTTTGTTCTTAGACGTACGAGCCAGGCAAGATTGACGGGTGAGCGATGAAATACGTTCGGCCTGCAATTTACATTTAGCTTAGTTACGGATTGATAATCAGTGTGTTGGCCTTTTCTTCTTTTTGTTTTTTTCCACGACGGTAAAACTAAATTTCATTACCAAGACAACGAAATTACAGAGAATCACACTTTAGTTTTCGCATCACATAACCATCCATCGCAAAAACTTCGGACCATGCAAATGATCACAAAGGGAACATATGCATGGACCTTAACTACCACCGCTACTCGCGCAAGCAACCAAGTTTAAAAGACGCCCTACACGGCAAACAAAGGTTCTAGACCCCCAAAATTACTGCCCTGTTCGTTTGGCTGATAAGCCATGGCTGAAAATACTGTTGACTGATTTATTATGAGAGAAAAATACTGTTCGTTGACTGAAAAAGTACGGCTTATAAGCCAAGCGAGCAGGGCGGTACATCCAGAACAGCATAATAGCTGCGACACGGTGTACTACATGATTCAACCGACATAGGGGATAAGCTGCCAGAAGGTACTAACAGTTAGAGGAGGGTGAACAGCATATAAAAATTTCTACAACAACACTACGCAAAGTGGTTAGACAAATATGAGGCGAAACAAATGTTGCGTTAGCCTACTAAGAATGCAAGCCACCTACTGAAATTCTATTGCTATTGTCTATAAGCACTCAAAGGCTATGTCACTATACTAAATTAGTGAGCTCTCAAAGACTAACTAAAAAACCTCACTAACCACTAGACACGGCTCTTGCTTGTCCTCAAAACTAGCTACACTAAAAAATGTAAATACGGGGGAAGGATGGAGTGTTATACCGCCGTGTAGAGTAATGAGCCAATCACCAAAGGAGCCAATCAATCACAAAAATAAATACCAATGAAGACCAATCACCTCGGAATCAAATGATGACATAATGATTTTTTACCGAGGTTCACTTACTTGCCGGCAAGCTAGTCCTCGTTGTGGCGATTCACTCACTTGGAGGTTCACGCGCTAATTGACATCACACGCTAAACCCTCAATAGGGTATTGCACAACCAACATAAGATGAGGATCACACAAGCCACGCGCAATCTACTAGAGTTGCCTTTCGTGATCTCCCACGGGGAAGGTACAAGAACCCCTCACAATGTCGACGATCGAAGCCTGCAACAATCACCAATAGCCGCTCAACGATCCACCAATCACCGGACCGTCTAGGTGTCAGCAAACACCAAGAGTAACAAGAACTCCACCAGTCCAAATCGCTCAACCAGTGCCACAAGATGCTAGAACACTAAGCAATGCACTAGAGACTCTCCAATCTCACTCAAGATAATGAAATCAAGTGTGCAAGTGAGTAGAGTGGTGTGCTCAGCTCTCAAAGGGTGTATGCAGCTGTTAGAAGTACCAAGAGAGTGGCCAAGGCCGACCACTAGCTCTATTTATAAGCCCACAAGTAAATAAAGCCGTTACCTGTTTGGATCATCTTTCTACGAGGGCACCGGACATGGAGGTGCCCCTCCCAACAGTCACTTTCCAACAGCTAAAACTAGCCGTTGGGGCACCGCCCCTAGGGTGGCGGTGACCACTCAGCCAATCTGCCTGAGAGACCAAGTCTCTGGAGAAAAGATGCGGTGCACCGCCCTTAGGGTGACGGTGCCCGCGGCGATGACCTCCCTGTTTTTCGCCATTTCTCTGGATTTTTATGGCGGTGCACACCGGTCGCTCCGATGGCCGCCTCACTCTTCCTCTTCTCTGTCGGGTTTAGGTGGGCACCGCCCTAGGGGTGGCGGTGCCACCGGATAGAGTGGCGGTGCCCCACCAGTGCACCCCACTCTCAGCCTCCTCTGCCGGTCACCGCCACAGGGGTGGAGGTGCACCAGACAAGGCATGGCGGTGCCCCCATGGCAGCACCCCAAGCCCGGCAACGCCTCTTTTCTTCACCTTTTTCACCACATTTGCAAATGTGCTAACACTCTAAGTGTTTCACCATCACGTGCAGTGTGTTAATATTTTCACAATCATTTTTCAAAGGTTAATCACTTTCTCACCGAATGTGCCCTAGGCCTAAAATGCATATGCAAGTTTTCCAACACCAAGTGGCACTAGATGATCGAGTTGTCCGATAAGAGCTCCCCTCTTAATAGTACGATCATCTATCCTAAATGTGATCACATTCGCTAAGTGTCCCGATCACCAAACCAAAAAGTTCCTATTAAGTTTCACCTTTGCCTTGAGCTTTTTGTTTTTCTCCTTCTTTTTTAAGTCTAAGCACTTGATCATCATGTCCACGCCATCATCATGATCTTCACCATTTGCTTCACCACTTGGAATGTGCTACCTATCTCATGATCACTTTGATAAACTAGGTTAGCACTTAGAGTTTCATCAATTCACCAAAACCAAACTAGAGCTTTTAATCTTCCCCTTTTTGGTAATTGATGACAACTATTTCACAAAGATATGAATTAAAATTCAATTGAATCCATGTTGCTTGTCCGAGCATATTTACCATGTGTAAAAGGATATGGACAAGTTTCACGAACTCTAATTGATAGCATTGGCTTCCCCTACATGTGCGCTAAGTTTGGATTGAAGCTTGCACATATGCATGGATTTGAGTTGTGGGAGAGTAATGTCTACAAAATGATGCTAAGGTATAAGAAATGGACCTTTAAAGCGTGATATCAATCGAAGTGTACCAATATACCATCCTTAGCACCATTAGTAACTAGACATGCACACAAAAACTAGAATACTTCATGAGATAACATTAGAATCAAGGGTCTAGTTTTCATAATATAAACACAAGTCTAGTTACTCAACCTATGCATGCTAGTTTTTTATTTCATCATTCAAACCTACAACTAGCATACACCACACAAGCATGGAATTTTAAATTTAAAACTTGTACTATGCAAGCAAACATATGAAATGCACATCCAAATGCACCAATCAAGTTTATGAGCTTGCTCCCCATACTTGTGTGCTCAAAATTTTAATTGATCCCCTCACTTTCTCATATCTCTCATCCTATGTCAAAGTTCTCCCCCTTTGTCATTTAACCTTATCTTTGTACTAATTTCTCCCCCTTTGTCATTAATAACCATAAATGTTCAATTTTAGATAGGTTAAGATTATCAATGTCAATTAATGGATTGAGGATCATTTTTTCAAAATTGGTCCAATCTAGAACACTTGCCAAAGATATTTAACTCGGTTTGATCCAAGGACAAGCTTTTCACACATCTAAATAAGGGTTATCTCGTACCATGTTGAATTAGACACTTGTAGCTCATTTTTTAGATCAAACACTAGGTTCATAAGCCCACAAACATGTCATATGCTACCACTAGATCAAGTCAAGCATAGAAACAATAGTGGCACCATACAAGCATCAAATTCATTTGTTTCTCATGAATGAGCCTATAAGACATGAGGAATGACTAGATGGACTAGACAAGTCTTTAGCAAAGGATGTATGCCATGTCAATCAACTTTTACCTTGGAGTGCTCGAAGAAGAGGCATGTCATATAAGTGGGGGTGGATCAACACATATTTGAGAAATCCAATATGTTCAACTCATTCCTTAGCTTGCAAAACCTTTTCTCATCCAATGACTTGGTGAATATATCGGCAAGTTGATCTTCGGTGCCTACACTCTCAATACAAATGTCTATTTTTGTTGGTGATCTCTAATGAAATGATGGCGGACATCAATGTGCTTTGTTCTTGCATGTTGAACTGGATTGTTGGTGAACTTGATTGCACTCTCATTGTCACAAAGCAATGTCACTTTCTTGAACTTGATTTCAAAGCCATTCAAGGTGACCTTCATCTAAAGTATTTGTACACAACAACTATCGGCGGATATGTATTCGAATTCAGCGGTTGATAATGCAACACTATTTTGCTTCATTAATGACCACGAAACGAGTGATCTTCCCAATAATTGGCATGTGTTTGAGGTGCTCTTCCTTTCTACCTTGCATTCCTCATAATCCGAGTCAGAGTAACCAACTAGCTTAAACTTTGCTCCTTTGGGATATCACAAACCATCATTTTATGTATGCTTCAAGTACCTCAATATTCTCTTTGTAGCATTCAAATGACTTTCTATAGGTAAGGCTTGAAACCTTGCACACATGCACACACTAAATATGGCATCCAGTCTTGATACGGTCACATAGAGTAGACTTTCAATCATAGACTGATACAACTTTTGATCCACCATGTTGCCACTTACATCACTATCTAAATTGTCATTTGTTTTCATTTGTGTACTTATGGTTTTGCTCTCATTCATGCCAA